CCTAGCTCATTCAACCAAATAATGAAACCGTTGCATAATTCAAACAGCAATCATATATACCCATAAACACAACTTTTTCTCCACTCTAACACCTATCTGCAACTGCCAGAAGCGTGAACTAAAGTCCAACCAAAGTCATAACATAATCAAAGAAAAACATATATATTATTATCAAGAGAGTATAAGAAAGTTGGAATGGCGAATAACAAAAACACAATGCAGAACAAAATGCCGACGTAAAACGTCGGAATAATCAGGCGTACGTGAGCGGTTAGCATAGTTTAAGTGCTCTTGATATAACAAAATAGTTTTCACAATCGCCTCTCATACAGTCGGTACATAAGCATATACCGCAGTAGTCTGACAACAAACGCCCTTATAGCCGAACCCTCAGGGTTTGTGTTTGTGTGTGTGTGTGTGTGTGTGTGTGTGTGTGTGTGTGTGTGTGTGTGTGTGTGTGTGTGTGTGTGTGTGTGTGTGTGTGTGTGTGTGTGTGTGTGTCGTGTGTGTGTGTGTGTGTGTGTGTGTGTGTGTGTGTGTGTGTGTGTGTGTGTGTGTGTGTGTGTGTGTGTGTGTGTGTGTGTGTGTGTGTGTGTGTGTGTGTGTGTGTGTGTGTGTGTGTGTGTGTGTGTTTACGCACATGAACGAAGGCACATACATACATGATAAATCTAGTATATAATATATATTACGTCTTAATATGTAATGGGAAGCTGTTGAGGGATATATAAGATGACTGTATCTTTGCTTATATTTTTAAAATTATTTGCATTTGACAGAAGTTAACATCTTTGATATCTGTCAGTGGGCAGATATCATTTCAGTTGAAAAGAATGTATGGGCTTTGGTTTTCATTTAATTTCATCTAGTGAATCGGCTATGAACGAACCCGCATCGGTTTTTTATTCCGATTTTTAATATTGGCCGTCCTGCTGAGCTTTCTAAAATCTCAGAAAAAATTATTACAGTAATCATGGCATGCTAATTACCAAACCGTATCGTTTTTAAATGAGGTTAAAAATATATTATTCCACTTGCTAATTTATTATTAAAATCCACTACGTTTTGATGTAATGTATGTGTATAAATGTCTGCCGGTATGTGTTGGTAAAAAATATCATTGAAGAAAATGATATAATTATGTATTTTTCTAATAGCAAGTAATCATTTCAATGTGTGTCTAAAGCAATAATTGGGCATTACTGGACGCATCTATAAAAAAAGAAAAACGACAGCTTGTTTGTTTGATGAATTGCGTATAATACCATTCTGGCAAAGAACTGTGTGTGTGTAAGTAAACGAACCTGTGATTCCTATCCTAACATGCTTATAATGTTCACTTTATATCAGCTTGTGGTGCAACCATCAAGGCAATCTATAATACGGCTGTACGCATACACGTTAACGTGTGATTTTGTTTTTGTTTTTAGAGGAGTACGGCATACGTGCAGCTGCTATATAGTTTGAATGTGATAATAATGTGTTTTCTTCTTTTTTTTTCATGCGCCGGCTTAACCTCCCATTGATCGTGGCATACATACACTGAAGGTAAGGAAATGTACTTTTTGTAGACGATGATTATTTTGCTTCCCCCGATGGATAAGTAATACTATTACTAATAAGAAAATTAAATATTTTGCAACAATATAAACGAACGAAAATAGCAACAATGACAAGTATGTGTACAGAACCTAGTTTTATACCTCGCGAAATATTACCATCGTTATTATATGCGGGGCTAGTAAGTTAATACCATATACATTGCTTTACATACACATTACGACTTCGTAAGTTAAATTAAACATACAGTAACATGCAGAACCTTTGGTCTGAAGCTTCTCCCTCCGCCTCTGTTGATAAATTTAAACTAATATTTTACTACGGCAAATTAAAACTAAACCTCGGTTTACAGGAATATAGGATGCCAGTTAAATCAGTCAACTTGAATGTTAAATTATTATGGAAAAAGTTTGATATATTATAGCTATTTTAGCAGGAATATTTTTAAAATTAACGGGAATATTTTACCTTTGTCCCAGTTTGTCTCCGTGCTTTTCCTATTCCCTAACCCAAATATTACTTAATTGCCCACAGGTGGCAGCACAGGCCTAACTGCGGTTGTCTGGCTTCACGCATACCAGGCCTATGGCTGGTTATGAGAACAAAATTAATACGGTGACAGTGAATGTAATAAAAATGTATTGGTATATCACAGTGAATTTTTATGTTCTCAATATCCGGTCCTAATTACACTGATATGCTAATCAAATGTTTTTGTATGGCTTTGTTATGTCACGACAAGCCACCTACGCATCCTTTATATATAGATCTAAGCGTATATGTGCGTTTGCCATGAGTTTTTGAACAGTGTATTGGTACAAATATTAGCTGACTTCAAATCCATTACACATCTATTGATAGGGGGATCGACGAACATAATTAGATTTTATTTACTATCATTGATTCCATTTTCCCATTGACAAGTGGCTGCTGTGTATCTGTCCTCACATAACCGTGAAATCTGTGCAAAAACTATTGCAATTCATTTTTATATATTAGTTATTTTTAGTCTTCAGTGTTAATGGGAACTCAGTTCAGGAACACTCACACACATTGGTACATCCGATTTGTTGTTGTTGTTGTTGTTGCCATTTTATGTAAATGCTTCCTTATTTCGCAAGTCCTTATTTATATACTCGCAAGTCAGTATATCATGGAACTAGAAAGTTGAGGCAGCTGGTCTTAGTGTGTGCATGTAAGCGTGTGTTTCGCAACACGCTGTTACATCACACATAACACAACATTTTATGCCCAATAATGTACTATATAATACACGATGTAGGACTCATCAAGAGATCAAAAAATTGTGTGAGCAATCTACCCTCTGGGAATCACACATAATGAGACTAACAGATCTCCGAAGGTGGTGGTGATAACCAGACAATAGGTGTGCCTCGGCCCACCCTTGTAACGCAGTAGCAATTAAATGTACAGAATTCATCAATTCCATTTAAAAATTGAAAGGCAAACATGGTTCATCATCATCAACATGCAGCCAGATGCAAACATGGATCAGATATTCCTGCTATACCATTTTTTGTTTATTGATCCTTTCTGAAACTGTTCACTGGTGCAGTTACTTATTCGGATAAATGTTTTCCCTTATTTTTGTCACAATCAGCGCTACCATGCCTTTGCAATTAATGTTGACTACCTGCAGATCGACGAAGCTTACTAAGAATTCCAAATCACTCACCAACTAAAGACACGTTTCAATGAAGCCAAGGATGTCAACTCAAACCCATATGGTAGCCATGTGTCTCGAATTTGGCACATTTCCTGTTTTATCACAGGAATGTAGGTTTAGTTCGCTACGTTATTTTCAACTTGAACTGTTGGTCACATAGAAAGAGTAAAGTACGATTGCACTGTGCTTGCGTACGTGCGTGTGTGTGTGTGTGTGTGTGTGTGTGTGTGTGTGTGTGTGTGTGTGTGTGTGTGTGTGTGTGTGTGTGTGTGTGTGTGTGTGTGTGTGTGTGTGTGTGTGTGTGGCGTGTGCGTGTGCGTGTGTGTGTGTGTGTGTGCGTGCGTGCGTGCGTGAGTGCGTGCATTCGTACGTGTGTGTGTGTGTGTGTGTGTGTGTGTGTGTGTGTGTGTGTTTGTGTGCGCGTGCGTGCGTGCGTGCGTGCGTGCGCCTGCGCACTTGCGTCCGTGCGTACTTGACCGCGCGCGGTCGGGCCATCGTATTCAATGTTAACAATCCAATTTAAGGCCAATGATGATTGCATTGAGATGATTTGATTGATTTCTTTATGTAGGTTAAGACCTATGAGCACACCATTACTATGTATTACATCATTTACCAGCAACACTTCCATAGATGGCTATCCAGAAGCGCACTGTATGCAAATATAGTCTCGGAATAATCCGGCCGGTAAATTTCACGTCTGCCATTCATAGACCGTTTAATTGGAATTTTGAGAAGCGATGCTAATGAATTATTAGGAAGTGTTATGTATCCTCCTGGTTCTAAATGCCTGTGCAGCAGGATTGATGGGCTTGCAGTTACAGGCCTGTGGAGATGGTACAGCGAATATCATGTAGGCCTATACACATCTAAACACTCATTATCGCACCGTTCGACATTTGAGGATCCTAAACTACCTTCTGTAATGAGTTTTCACCGGGGCCTTTTAATTCGCGATGTACAGTTACCAGCGGACATAATTACTGTATTCTCTGGTAATTGGAAAATGCTTAAAAACTAATTACATGAATGAAGGAATTGTAAGTGGGAAACAATGCACATGCAAGGTTAAATTGTTAGTTCTCCGAAAATGGGGGGGGGTAATTCTCCTCCTCTCTTAAGTTTTCATGGTTACCGTCTTAAGAAGTTTTCATTTGTTCATGTTCTGGTATTCGTAAGTAAGGAAAAGATCTGCATCAACGTGTAGACTTGCTTCGCCTAGAAAGTTTACAAATTTATCACGCGGTCATACATACGGAACATTAGGTTTATTTGAGCCTATTATGTCTACACTTACGTATTTCGGTTTGTCCGTATCCGTACAGATTGTACAGAGTTTTCTCAGATCATCTGCTATAATTTATTTACGTGAAGTAATGCTGGGCTATTTATCGCTATCCTCCGGCTCCTTGAACAATTGCAATCAAATTGTCAGTGTATGCTTTTAGATTTGAAGTGCGATTGTTTCGTAATGCTAGGTGGGGAATTAATCGGGTTAGTGTTTCTTCCCATCACGATCACATCGCGTGATGTCGGTGTATTTCTGTGGTGCTGAGCATTTTACTCTGCTGGACGAGGCGCGGTCTCTGTAGCTGTATCCACATTTTCCCGATGAGCCTCACACATCTACCACGTCCTCTCATTTCAGTGAGCAGACGCACCTTTTTGTGATATTTTGGTGATAAATATTTTCTGGGATTTGTGTTTGGTAGCGTGCTACCCTAGAAAGTGCACTAGCCCATCTGGCTTTTGTCCTCGAGTGATTCTATTTAATTTCGCAAAAATCAATAACAATCGAGTCCTCAGCCTCTCGCATGCATCCCATGCTGCCTTGCGGATGAAACTGCTGAGTCTCACATGTGTTATGCAGTGTGCGTGTGTACGAGTGCTGTATGTAATAAACTAGCATCTGCTAAATATAGATTTAAAATCGTTGCCTCTGCCGCCGACTGACTGCATTTGCTATCATCATCCATCTCTGCCTGTCCGCTTCTTCTCTCGGATATACGCTTCTGTGTTCCTGCAGGCTGGATCATCCCGGCTAAGGTTCGACGTACTGAAGGTAACAAATGGCAGTATCATTTCTAATCTAGTTTCACCTCTCGACTCGGTAAGCGAGTCGAAGAGATTGTGCTATTACGCGAGAACCCATTCACGGGTTAGGATTTCAGCAGTTAGACCGCTGGCTACTTCTAGGAGCAGCATGTATCGGTTGCAGTGGTCTAGCCTTGGATATATTGCGAAATCGTTGCCATTTGCTTTACTTCGAAACGTCTCTGCTCGGGCACCACATCTGTGCATGGTCGAATTTGCAGTGTAGATATATACACCTACTGGTCGAATTGCTGTAGTTTAAACAGTAAGTTTATACTGTCTGAATACATCGTAGCTGCTGTGTGGCGACGTAGTTTTCCCCGAGCTTGGTCAACGACAAGCTGGTACCGTGATAGTTCACGTACAGTGCATCGAGGATTCGTGATGTGCTGTCAGGCTGGCATACACTTCGATTAGGACGCCTTGTGCATTTGCTCTACGCCGCAGCAATAACATGTAGGTAGACGGGGTGCTTATTTAGCCAGCCGGCGGTTTCATAACATCCCGACCCCTGAAGAGCCGCGGCCCAGGCGTTACTGCATTTACTGGGTCCGCCGCTATCGCATATGCTACTGTTGTGATGATAGTGGATCTCGCTGATAACAACGTGTCCGTGGTTTTTCTCACACTGTTTGTGATCTCGCGCTGCCACATTGGCCTTCTGTTTATGTGCTTCAGAATCTTACGTGTGTGATGCTGACTTGCGCGTAATCAGTCATTATTGGTTTATTGAAGACTTGTCAGTATCGGTTCGCATGTAATACGTGATCGGTGTGTAATAAGAATGGAAATACCGCATACGTGGCAGGTCGTAGCCAGAAGCAGTTGGTTTTGGGAAGATGTATAGTTTTCGCATTGGTGGAATCCGAGTTGAAAGTGTTGTTAGACCACCGGTATATACTTCTCCCGGGAAAATCTCAGGTAAATAAGTACATAAAGCAAATCTGTAGACAATTTATAACTCGTTCGTTATATATGATTCCACTTACATCAATAATTCACATGTTCTGTGAGACTGTGCACGGAATGTGTTATATGCGTAAGGCTCATAGGGTCTATGTCCCCCAGGGTACGTTCCGGTAGTACCCTGGGGGACATAGACCCTCTCAGCATTAGTAAGTACATTCCTCCTTTATACGCTCTTGGTAAGTAGTATTTGCACTATGGTTGGTACAATATACACGCGATATTTATAACGGTAAGAAGCCGAGTCCATTGTTTTCATATCGAAATTCAGTCTTGTGTCTAGGTAAATGTTAACCCGACCAGGCTGTGTGACTAACGTCAATACACCAATATTCTAACCCTAGCAATACCGTTTCTTGGAGCTAGGTAAATGTATGTTGAAGGTGCTTCCATGCCAAAAAGTGAGCGATAAATACCTTCTCACAATTGAAATATCATCCAATTTCGACAAATAGTATAAGGCACAAAGGCTGCAACGAAGCCGACAATTAATCAATATATGGTATAGTTTTCCTAACTCGAGTCGATATGTGTTTTTTCCTGACCCGTCTGTAGATGAACTTATTGTTGCATGGATTTCCATGACCCCTTTATATGAACTTCGTACGTGAGTGGTACGGGGGTCGGCGAAATATCGACTGAACTCTGCACGCCCTTTTCAATTTTCTACGGGGCTTAAGCCGTGACGTCTATATGTTTACACCTTTACATGGTCGTATATACGAGTTATCCCCTGGAGTTATTAAGTGCAGTAATATCCAGAAATGATCTACATGCACAGTTGGATTTATGAAGGCTTAAACACGTGCAGGCGCTTGAGTTCGATGTACTTACTGCTGATGTAGCATGTGTATTCCAGAGATGCCAACCATTACGATTTATCCGTATTTTATACGAATTTCTATTCCTTTTGCACCACTACGACGAGTTTGTATCAAACTACGAATTTCACTGTGATCGAAAAAAATGATTGTTTTTGTCAATTATTGTCATTTTTTGTCAATTTATTGTCATTTTTGACCCTCAGAATGCAGGAAATTGCATCTCAGAATCAAAATTTTCCGGGGGGTATGCCGGATCCCCCTAGCAAACTCTGGTCACTACGTGACCCTCGAACTACTAATTTCATGGCCAGAAACTACAGATTGCTTCAAATATGTGTTGGCATCTCTGGTATTCCATGTATGTGCTGTTTTGAGTCTTGATTAGATGCTTGTATGATTAGTAGCGTAAATATTTGGTATAGAGCTCTAGTTCACCCGATTGGTGTAATGTACACCTGAATTCTGATCAAGATGCTGGTATTAAATATACCATGACTCATCCATAAGCTAGCTCGTATTTTTCAGTACTTCAGATTCTTGATGTGAAGAGTGCAATAAGAGAGTTCGGAATATGAGCGTCCCAATACACGCGACACCATGTTTGTCCGAAATTACACGCGAAAGCACAACTGTGTTTATCTTTGTAGGAAAATCATCATATTTTATGAAGGACCAAAGGTGGAGTTTTTTAGTAGCCATCGAAAGTTGTTGATATCTAGCATGTTAATTGACCAAGCTCATTTTGGGCCATATATTTCCCAGTATGAGAACGCCGTGGCCGTCCTCTGCCATGCATATATATATTGGAGCGACTGGACTGACTGATCACACACGAAATTATAGCATGTTTCATATAGAACCCTCCCATCTGAACCTAGAGTATATTTCACATTCTATGTAATCGCACTATAATTAAACTATACACTGTATATCTTGCATGGCGCATGTGTGTGCGTGCGTGCGTGCGTGCGTGCGTGCGTGCGTGCGTGTGTGTGTGTTTGCATGTGCTGCATTGCTTGCGTGCGTTGAGAAATGATAGTATGAACATTGTGTAGAAAAGCTTTGCAAACAGAGTGTGCGTAGTGCGTACGTTTACGCGTGTGCATGAGTGCGTGCGCGGACAACATTACACTTTCACACGCACTCACGCACGCACGCACGCACGCACGCACGCACGCATGTACACACTTCCTATACACGCATTCATGCATACTCACACGCACACAAATATATCACCTGCATAAAGCTTTGCAATTGATTCAGTTTATGTGAGAATTCTGTTTTTCCTACATCCTTCTTCATTTTTATACCTTCAATATTGCGATCACATAACAATATCTATGTCAAATTTCTAATAATTTCGTAAAGGTCGCAATAAAATGATCCATTTAAGTATTCATTTTACAGAAGCACATTAAATCGGCTGATATGTATAGTTGCTACATTAATACGTGTATGTCTATTGTAAGCATACCCTAGCTGCTATGCTGTAGGTTTCAAACTTATTGATGGTACGCATGCTTTGATTTATGCAGATTCCTCTTAAGAAGTCTGTTATTTTCATTTATGCTGTAGTGGTAATAACAGCACCGCAAATGTTCCTAAACGTTAGCAGTGAATGAAAATTGGTGTGAGGAAAATAGTTATAGATTTGCTGGACTTCCTATGTACGACAGTAACAAATCTACATAAATTAAATTAAAATTAAAATTACACATTTTAATTTACTTCCTATACGGTCCCTTAAACTAAAGTAATTGCAAAAAGCTATTTGTTAAAGTGTATGATTTAACCTGGTTCGCTGTACGTATTTTTCACAGCAGGTTTTCACTACTGACAGATGGCAGCCGGTTGGGGCGCGCTCATTTACTAGGTGAATAGACCAAATAATTTATAAAAAGCTGTCTGCAGTTAACGTCATGAAGCCATATCGCTACTGGGGATTCTCCTGGCGTTTTTTATTTCTGTCTGCTTGCCGACTATGTGCTGGTAGCGTAGGTTTTTAGTTAGAAGTGCATATTATTCTGTATGTATTTTGCTTTGGGATATTTTTGGGATCGCCCATTAGCATAGGGATTTTGCTGGAATACACCGTGTTTATTAGGGGCACCCATAAGGGAAATTTTATATAATGCTTAAAATAGCTCCAAGCACTTAACCAGGTAATATTTATCCATCCGTGTATTTATTGCTCTCAGGGTGCTTGTAAAGGACATCACTCCACAAAAATCTCATGTAAATTAAAGATGAAATAGCCATCATTTTGTCCAAACAGGTTTTAGCGGCTGTGACGTTTTTTGAGGAAAGAAGTATGTACTGTAACTATAGTATGTACTTTATCGCTGTAGCAGATACGCATATATAGTTTATGAAGTTTTGTGGTGGGTGATAGCAGTAGTATATAGTGGGAAACATACACTTATAGGCGCATGCAGTTATCTATTATTTATATAGAGTGTTTTAAAATTAGTAACTCCCCTTGCTGTATCTGGCGTCTGCTATGAAGGCAAAAGCTATCAACGTGATGCATGAACATCTACGAAATCATCACCAACACGTCAACTGGGAAAGTAAACCATGGGTAGCTCGGTTTTTATAAACGTTTTATGAAGTACACATTGAATAAATGTTTGGCGCTCAAAAAGCTAGGTTACTATTTTTGTTCAAGACATTTTAGAATTTTAAAAGTCAAGAGTTTTAATGGTGGGTAATCGATTAGGAGGCACTGACACTGTATTCAGCGGCGTGAAGAACTCTGACATTTACATCTCGCTGATAAATTGCCAATCAACAAAAAATTCTCACGTCTATCAGATAATTTCATATGGATTTTCCTTGGTCATTGAGCTTTTCACTCGAGTCACACAGTTTTAATAAGCATATTTCTTAATATGGTTCCAAATTAATTAAATGTAATTATTTTTTTCAAACTAGTGTATGACGTTGCATGTAATGAATGATTTTTCAACTCGCAGTTTACCCGTTTACGATCACTGATAAGGGATATTACACGTTTGCAGGTTCTAATTGTGACATTATGCAGTATTATAATGCGTGTGTGCGTGCGTGCGTGCGTGCGTGCGTGCGTGCGTGCGTGCGTGCGTGTGCACGTACACGTGCATGCATGCGTGCGTGCGTGCGTGCGTGTGTACCTACACGTGCGTGCAAGCATGCGTGC